TTTCAAAAAGCAATCAATTCTTCCTTTTAGGTAAACTATGACACCATGCTGTAATTCCTTTCAGGTGGGGGAGCCGTTGAAACAAAGACCCAAGTGTTCAACTTACTTTTCCACTACTTGAACTTATCCGGTTCCATTAAGAAACAAACCAACAAATTCACTGATGGGGAAAACCATGGCACTTCATCTCCAGGTTACCAAATTCTCTGACACAACCTATCACTACGTTTCAGGTCAGGCTGGGAGTTTCAGTTAGTGGGACGGATCAGATACACTTGCTTTAACGTTCTCTACTCAATGTTATATTCAACACGGATTCCTTTCCACATGCTTGTTCAGATTGTACACTCATCCAAGAGTGAAAAAATAAGTGCTTAATTTGTTGGCAACTGCACCCGAAAATATTTCTTAATCCAATAACAGCCAAATTACCTTTATAGCATTTTTTTTTTTACTTTTATTTGTTGATATTTTTTCTTTCTTTTTCCCTTTCCCCCCTCCTCTCTCCTTTTCCCTCCCTACTTCCTTCCAGATTTTTCCTCCTTCCACAGAGATTAAAACATTTTATTGATAGCGGGCTACCGTCTTTTGATGTAAAGTCTTCAACGTTTTTAATGTCGTTTTTTGCAGTTGGATCGTCAAGGTAATGTAATATTTCTGGCCAGAGTCTGACGATTTACACACACACACACACACACACACAATTATTAATGCAAAAAGAGGTGTTTAATGTACTGTTAGAAATTACTAAATAATTATATTATTAGAAGAATCATTTATCGTTCAGTTTCCAATCTACAATGTTTACTAATGACCCGCGAATGCCCGTATAATTAGTTGGAATGAAAACGTAAGATGATTAATTAATTAATTAATCCGACTCAGAAATTAATAACTAAAACCCAATATCTGTCTATATTTCTGATATGAGGTATTGAAATTATTTACATTGTTCTTCGTTGTCATATTCTGTACAACGGCCGAAACTTTGTGAATATGGCAACGAAGATGAGGACAACAGCCCGAACAATGTAAATAAAACCCAATATCAGTTATTTGACATTTTTACCAACTTTTTCTTTTCGGATAGTTACGTCATATTTTATTTAAAACACTCAATGCATAATATTAACATCATCTCAGAAATTAACCTAATTCTTTTTAGCTTTTATTAACAAGTTTCATAAGTCAGGACCATAAATTAATATTTTCTTGTGGAGCTGAGGATTGAGAACTGCAATGTAAACACTTTACAAACTATATTTATAACAACATTATCCTTTTAATTAAACTTTTTTTCTTGACAGTTTCCCCAAATGAATGGGTCTTGGTGGGGAATGTATGATTTCTTTTTAGCTTCTGAGGATTGCCGTGATCAATTAAAATTGCACTGAACTCAATAGGAATTAAATTCTCAACTCTTTTCTTTAGCTCTAGTGCCATGTGAAAATTCTCTGGCTTCAGTGGAGACTGAAACCCAGTTTAAAACACCAGTCTTTCTTGCTCCCCCGCCACAAACACCAATGCGAAGCATGCCATGTAAGTACTGAAACTTGATGATTTTAGCTTATAAACATCCTTTTCTGTCCACTTACTCAAAGAGATCTTTTTTCGTTTTCTGTTTTCCTCTTCTCTTGTCACATTCTCCAATATCTTTTACTTCGGTTTCATTTGCTAATTAAGCCCTGAGATTTAAGGACTTACCAAAAGACGATGTCTGCATATTTTGCCTAATTTTTACTATTTCAGAACTTAAAAGGCAATTCTTAATTGCTGAAATTTAACCACAAGAAAAAATCAGAAGTGAACATCAAAAAACGGTTAGTACAGTGATTCCCGAATGTGAGGTAGGAAATAACTTCAGAAGTGTTACTATCATTTAAATGTACCCTATGAAAAGCGTTACATAATCGTCCAACGGTATAAATGAGTCCTGAAGAGCAGTGTTTTATCTGGCAAATGGCAAATAAGACACGTGACTTGGCCTTCTTAGCGAGGTGCTATGACATAACGGACTTATAATTAAGGTATTAAACACTAAATCATTTGGTAATATTCAACATCAACAGGTGTCAAATGTTGTCAGTGTCAGTTTTTTGTTAACTTCATTGTTGAGGGGGGGTGTTGTAACTGACAAATTTATATCAGTGAAAGCAAGGAAGGCGCAGTTTTAGGCCCTCGCCGACATCTTTAGTTTCTTGCTTTCACTTGCCTTCTAGTAATACGACTGCAAGAACTTGTTAAAATATATTTTCTTGTGGTGTCATGATAATGTCATGGTTTCCCACTAAAACTTAAGATATTCGTTTTGTCGTGGAGCATTTTATTGATAATGAAACGCTAAAATATAATTTAGTTGTCATAATGAAGACTGTCTTCTTGTGATGCCATTATATAGCTACCTCCATGAGATCGCTAAAAAAAAAAAAAAAAAAAAGCATTGCATGATGAAAAAGACGCCAAACTTGACGAAAACAAAATGCTATCGTCTAAATGTTTATATTATTATTAAGAGGAAAGATCAAAGTTTATTTTAATTATTTTTTTAAATTTTTCCTTCTTTTTAGAACATTCTAAATTTAAAAAATAACAACTTGTTTCTCTTTGTATCACCGGAACTAGTAAAATAACATATACAATTTTTAGCACGTTTTTTGTGCGTGTGTGTGACAGACACACATTAATTTAGAAAAATCTTGCAAAAATAAAAATAATTGTCGGATATTAAATGAAACATTCAGAAACTATTCACAGATGATCGAAATTATTATAAATATGTTATTTTTATGGCAGAAATATTTTTTATATTTATTACCCGCACCCCCACCCTAATTTTATGAAAACGCCAGAAATTCGATCGCGTCAGGTTTAGTGATTATAATAGTTAAAGGCACAAGGCTTTGAAGAATGCAAATCATGTTTTTTTTTGTTTTTAATTGCTTTAAATCAGCTTTGAATTGTAACATACAAAAGTCAATAAAACAAAGATATTATTTAATTTCAAATGCTTTTATTTGCTTTTATGAATATGGACAATATTTTCTGAAAGCAAAAAAATTTTTCGATGAAAAATGAATTTTTAATACAATTAATTGTTATTTTTTAATTATAATAGATTTTTACATTCAAGTTGTTAAAATATAAAATTAGTTAAAAGCCGCATCGGGTTTCCTAAATGTCCTTATGAGATAGATCTTTTTTTTAGCACGTTGTAAATTGTATCATTTTGAATAATCAGAAGACCTGCAGTAATTAAGAAATGTAATTTTGTGTTTAAAAATGGCTGTAATTATAAAGTACAGAAGACCAACCAGAATACAATTAAGTTACTTTATTTGAGTTAAGCATTGTTCTCCGCTGTTAAGGCCTTTACTTTTGCAAAGTACGTGTGGAGAAGTTAATTTGATTTTTCAATTTCAACTGAGAAGGGTACCTACAAGTATCAGTATCATCTTATGAATTTTATATGATCTTATTTTTATATTAATCTCAGTTATGACATTTTTCCATAAATTAAATATCAAAATTAATAATAAAATGAATGAAAATACAAATAATACAGTAAAATGTAATAAAATACTATTATTTTATGTACGTTTATGTACACTTCTGATAATATTTCATAAGAAAGGTACCTATAAATTAATTAGATACCTTTTTTATGAAATTTAACAGACTTATTTTAATTTCTTTATAATATATTTTCCATAAAGCATCGTAAAGGTGAAAGCTAAGTACAAAAAAAAAAAAAAAATTAGAGCACTGAAAGTTTTCCTTAAAAATAACAAGGTAAATAATTTGTTCAATTAAATGTAAATAATTTCACTTTTATCCTTCCGTAGAACAAATTATCCTCACAGAATCCGTCAATATGTCATCCATCACCTGTCAAGTGACGCGAAAGTTTATGACCTGCTTTATTTTATTTTCAAATTACATCTTTTCGGTGCAGTTAAGCTTGGTTCAAAATATTTTAAATAAACATTATAATTTCTGATTTTCTTAAAATAAGTTTTGAAAAAATGATAATTGATGTTTAAAAGAGTTTCAAAGGGAGATTTTCATTTTTTTTTTATAAAATGGAAAAAAATGGTCAATTTTACTGACTCAAAAAAAAAAAACAAGATTTTTAACGAAAAGTTTGTCGTCATTTTCTTCATGGCATGCTTTTTTTTTTTTTTTTAGCAATCTCGTGGAGGTACCTACATTACATCATATTGTTTTTATTAATATAAAAGGTAAATGTCAATATGTGGCTTAAGGTTTTAAAAAAATTGTTTTCGTGAAAATCGTGTTGATATAATTTCGTTAAAGAATATGTTAATGTGGTATCAATATATTGTCAAAATTCAAATAAAAATATAACAAATAAATGATAGTTTTCTTGTTGAAGTGCCATAATTTATATATATATTAGGTTGGTGCAAAAATAATGTCGTTTTTTTTACGTTAAGTTGAACGTCAAAAAACGACATTATTTTGGCACCAACCTAATATATATTAATGGTACTGATTTGCATTTTTGAACTAGTAAGTTTACTCTGCACTTTGGTAGGTTATTTTAACGCCTTACTATATGAACCACTTTCCATAGATACATTCTATACGAAAGAGGTTCCTCATGGCTGTAAACATGCTTTTACTTTCCTTGATTCCACTTCTTACTGTACTGTACTGATGCGGCATTCACCCTGGGCGGATTGAGCCGGCTTCTTCCTGTTATGAGAAGAAGATTCTTGGGATAAATTACAGAAGTAGAGTACCCAGGCCTACTCGGATAACGTTCTTGTTTGCCGCGGGGTTCCCACAGACGCAGAGACAGGAACGACCAGAAGCTGCCGGTTACCGATGCAGACGCTCCTTGGATTTTCACCAGATTAGCCGGCGTGTGTGTCAGACCTGTCCGCCTTGAGTGGCCCTACCAGGAACGAAGTTCCGGGCGGCATAGCTCTGACACTACCGTTTACACCCCCCCCACCGACTGTGAGGTAAAGGTTGGACTTACAGTACCAGGTGTTCCCAAGCGGTCCCCATCTAAGTACTGACCTGGCTCTACGATGCTTAACTTCGGTGATCGAACGAGAACCGGTGTTTCAGCGTGATTTGTAAGCTCACTTCTTACTAGAAATAAACAATTAATATATTGCCCTTAAGATTTCTCAGGACATAGAATATCAGAAAATTAAATCGATGTGGCCCAGTTAGAAAATATAAAGCAGGAAATGAACAGATTAAATGTTAATATTTTAGGTGTATGTGAAATGAGGTGGGGGAAAAAAATGGAGATTTCATCAGTGTGAAAATGGAAACAAAAAGGACACTTATATACTTAACATCAGGAAGAGACAGTTGAAGTTTCTGGGAGACATAATGAGGTATAGGATACAAATCCTATATTCCAACAAATGACTAAAAAAAAAAACACAAAGTAGATTTGCACACCCGCAAAATCGGATCAAAACAACCAAAAACAGATTTCACAATAAGGTGTGAAATTAATTTTCTGACCAATGAAAGGAGGCGATTTGCTAAACCAAAAAAAAAAAAAAAAAAGATAACGAGCCTGTGTGAAAAAAAAAGTCAATAATAAATAGTTTTCAAGTCAGTCACTAGTCAGTCAGTCAGAGAAGGGCGCAAAGATCACAGAAGATTGACAGTAAATTTCATCACTGACTCAAACCAACACAAAGAGCCGACAACAACAACAAATTTACAACTGACTTCAAAACAATTCATAAGTACATTTTCCTTTTATCTTTATTCCTCATTCACACTCTTTTTTCAACTTAAATTGCTCGCCCCTTTTTCATTTGCAACTATACAAATATATATTACTCTGCTACTCTGTTAAAAGACAGTGAACACAGACATTTTTATCAAAATCACATTTTTGCTTAAACGAACTAAAACATTAATCTTTTTTACCCTATTCACAAGATAATAAATATACAATGTTCTATTTTCTATAAACGTTCCTTATCGTGTTGTTTCTTCTTGAAATTTGCGTTGTATTTTGTGGGCAGGGTATCCCGTATTAAATTCTCCTTTAATCCGGGTACGCTGAACCCTACAGAGGAAAACACTAGATAAGGTTCTTGATCGATAGACAATTTGACTGGAAGAAAAAAATAATGATAATCACAAGGGCGAAAAAAAATGTTTTCTCGATGCAGTGGATTTCACCCTCCAATCAATTTGTATTTCTCGCACAATAGGAAAAACAAATGTTTTCTAAAGTAGTTACAAGATGATACGGAAAAGTTCACATTTCAGAGCCGAAGTATTCATCTACATAGAAAGGAAATTTTATTGACTTTTCTTCAGACAAGAAATTAGAAACAAAATTTGCCAACAATTAACTGTTTTTCAACATCTGCCACGAGAATTCAAATAGAATTTTAATGACTTTTCTCTGTAAAATTCGTTTTTCACTGGCAACTGTGGTGAATACCATAATGGAACACAAAGGTGGCTGTATGAATTTTGATCTCAAGATTTGAACAACAGCCGCGCCTAACTTGTAATCATGATAATTAAGAGGACACATTTTTATGAATTTAAATTACATGATTTTAATCATTTCTTTTATTAATTAATTACATGATTTTAATTAGGGGATTCCATTATATATTTTTACCTACCCAACCTCCCTCATGAACATAAATCCAATTATTTACACTATTTACATGTGGTCTATTTTTGAACATGTGAAATTTTGTTTTTAATTTTCTAACCGGGGACAAAATTTTACAGTATATTTTTACAGTATCTCTTAGTAACCAAATATATTTTCCTTCTTTGTTAACTGAAGAGCTTTCTTTTCACTGAAAAGAATCGCTTTATGGTTTCTCTTTGATATATCGAAATAACCAGAATGTATCATTTTATTCTTTGGAAAGATTATTATATAATAACAGCAATAAAAAATTTAAAACAACCTTTAAAAACAGGATCAGGTCAGCTAGGTTGAGCATTGGATAGCAGAAATATTATATTAAAATCTAAAGTTAAGCATTCTTGCATTTTCAACATTAACTTAATGCTTAATTATAAACAATGTTTTGTATTTCATCCTCTCTGTCCACATATATAAGATTGTATCAATAAAAATATTATTTATTCTGAAGAAGTCTTTTTGAAGGACAAAAATCATCTGGTAGAAGTTTTTTCCATTTTACTATTCACTTACCAAATTATTCAAACAATTTCAATGGCCTTGAGACATAATTTAAAATAAGAATCTCAGAATTTACAGAAACTCAACATTTGTATTTGCCATTATAAAATCTTAAGCAAAAGGCACAGCTGAATACTATTGATATTAATGATATTATTATAATAATGATTAATAAGTTGTATATTAATAATATGTATAATGATGACATACAAGTTGTATAATAATAACATATATTAATAATATGTATAATGATGACATACAAGTTGTATAATAATAATATATAATAATATGTATGATGACATACAAGTTGTATAATAACAACATATATTAATAATATGTATGATGACATACAAGTTGTATAATAATAATATATATTATATAATAATGATGACATACAAGTTGTATAATAATATATATAATAATGATGACATACAAGTTGTATAATAATATATATAATAATGATGACATACAAGATGTATAATAATATATATAATAATAATGACATACAAGATGTATAATAATAATGATATACAAGATGTATAATAATAATTATATATATTAATATGTATAATAATAATAATAATTAAGCTATATAAATAATAATATTATAATAATGATAATATATAAGCTATATAGTAATGATAAATAAGATATATAATAATGATTAATAATAAGATGCATAATAATAATAATAAGTATGAAACAAGCTTTCAAGTAAGGATTTGTCAAAATGAAAATACTTTTGACATGCTAAATATCTACTCCAGAATGGCTTGCATAATCTGGGTAAACATTAACCACTTGAATCCAATCAATGAGATAATTTCTTTGTTCTGGAATGGGTAACAAAACATTTCACTGACATTATTGTGACATGCACTTTAACTAAAAATAGTCTAATTTAATTTTGATGTCATCATAACAATTTTAGTTTTCCTTCTTTTCACAAGATGGAAATATTTAACCTTCAGTTGGGGAATGTGATTTAAATAGCTTCTTCTGCCTGTATATGCCTTATCCTCTCAGAACGTGGGCACTCATGGTTCTCCACAACTTCCTACCCTTCATGGCTCTAAGCAATATCTGTCCTTTTACTATCCCTCCCAGGCTACGATCTGCCATTCATTTATATAAATTCCTTTTTCTCTATTCTCTCTGCCCCCTCTTACCTTTAGTATGCCCTGTGCATGTCAAATTCTCCAAGCCCCTTTTTCCTCATTATGTGTCTCAGAAATTTTAGCTATCACTTTCTGTTTGTAACTTTCCTTGCTATTCCAATTTTTCTTAAGACTTCCTCATATCTCCCGTTTATAGTACTCTTAGTCTTTGTCAGTAAAACCGCATCTCTGATATTTCATGTCTCATCTTATTCTTAGTGTCCAGCATTCACTATTATATAGAAGATTAGATATTGCATTGCAGTTCAGCACTCTTTTATTTCTAATGATATTTTCTTATATCTTATTACTTTGCTTAGTTTCTGGAAATCATCTTTCACTATTTTTATGGGCTTTCAGATTCCTGTGTCACATCATGTGTTATTACATTACCTAGATAGTTGATTGATTGATTTTTGACACCTGCAATACGTAGTTCATATCTGGAGCTGTCTCTTTTCCTGGCAACCATGCATCCTGTTATATTACAGTTATTACGCCTAAACAAACCTTTCTAGGATTCATGGCTATATCAAGTACATTGATTTAGATGTCAAGATGAATTGAAAGATTCTGTCTATATTTCTGAGATGAGGTATTATGTACAGTATTTACATTAGTCGGACTATTGTCCTCATCTTTGTCGCCATATTTGTCACAACGTTTCAGCCGTTGTACGCTCCGGCCTTCTTCAGGTGGTTGGAATTTCGAACTGAACCCTTTATTTCAATCACTGGAGTAGACTGTTCTAGTTCCACGTGCCAAGGACACATGGCACAGTGGATAAAGGCGTTGGTTAGATCCAGTGACAGACCCAAAGAAGGTGAGTTCAATTCCTGGTTAAGGCAGTGGAGAATGAAAGTTCTCCACTGCCTTAACCAGGAATTGAACAATTGAGGGAAAATTAGCAGGAGATAACTGATAACTGACATCCATCAAACATGGCACATGGAACTAGAACAGTCTACACCAGTGATCGAAATAAAGGGTTCAGTTCGAAATTCCAACCACCTGAAGAAGGCCGGAGCGTACAACAGCCGAAACGTTGTGACAATAGTCCGACTAATGCAAATACTGAACTGAAAGATGTCCTTATAAAAACATTCATCTTAGACAACCAGAATGTATACTCTACTGTGCTTAGTAAGTCGGGGGTGTCAAATAACTGGGATCTGGGTAGAAATTGATTATGAGTGAATTCTTAGTTTGTGGGGGGGGGGGTTTAAAATAGGTTGCTATTGCTAGCACCTGTTATAATGTATAAGTCAAGGGGGTTAGCATGAACTTCAAGAAACTTCTGGTACACATAATGAGGAAAAGAGGGCTTGGAGAAATTAACACTCACAGAACATACTGACAGCAAAAAAAGCGAGAGGCAAACAGCAAGTAATGTATTTGACACCTGGTAATGGGTGACAATTTACTTAGAATAACAAAGACAGGAAGTTGTGAAGAGCCATGATTGTCTACATCCTAAAGGGGCTTAGCATAGAATAGAAAAGAAAGAGCAAATTTAATCCAACCAAAATTGATTCAAATAGTCTAAATATTTTGTTAACACCTAATTGTAAGTATTTTTAGTCTGGTATATTAACATTTATATGGACAGAATGGATGTGCAGGTGGTGTAATTGTTTGTAGTTTGGAAGCAGAAACTGGTGAGCCAAATTTCAATTCCAGTCATACACATTACATTCATTTTCATGCAAATTCCCTTGGGAAAGGTATGGCTCTTTCTCCTCCCAGCTATGGGTTCAATAGCAG